CCAATGTAATTTTGAATCTACAGGTACATAACTGAACTTGGACACTTTATTATATTTGGGAATGTGAAAAATGTGTGTTTTAACTTTGTTATCTACAGATGGCTAGTAGATCAAGAAGGTCAGAAAAGATCACTCGCCCCAATGAAGAAGAATCCCCTGTTGCTCCTATTGACACCTCTGAGGGCAGAAGCAGAGGCAGAGGTAGAGGTAAAGGCAGAGGTAGGGGTAGACCAGAGGCAGAATAAGTCAGCCAGAAATCAATATGAATCAAGCAGAATCAAACTCTGAAAATATGAATCAAGAACGGATGTCTCACCCAGAATATGTAACAAGAGACATATTAGCTGAAGAATTGGGAAAACTAAGGGAAACCTTGACTTCTATTTTGAGGAATCCTGCCAGAATAGAGACAGGCAGCACTGAAGTTACTCCATTAATTCCAATTCTCAATAACAGGAAAGGAGATATAAAGATGTTCCTAACTTGTAAACCACCAACCTTCTCGGGAGAAAGAGATCCAATTAAAGCTATCTGTTGGATCAAGGAGATGAAGTTTGTATTCAATACCATCCGATGTGCAGAAACAGATAAAGTCAGATTTGCAGTCTCGGTGTTAAAATCAAATGCGTTATTTTGGTGGGAAGCAGAATCCTTAGCCAAAACAGATATTTTGCAAACTATGACATGGCTAGAGTTTGTCAACAGATTCAAGGAGCAGTTTTGCCCAAAAGCTGCCGTTAGACAAATAAAAGAAGACTTTCTAAAATTGGAACAAGAAAACAGAATTGTAAGGGAATATATAGAGAAATTCATCGAATATTCAAGATTTGCAGAACATTATATTTCCTCAGAATCTAGAAAAGTGGAAAGGTATATTTGGGGATTGAAACCATCAATCCAAGAATTTGTCATAGCCATGAATCCGGCTACATTTTCATGGACCGTTGACGCAGCGGAGGTAACAGAAAGTGTAACATACATAAAACTGCTTTTATTGGAAGATCTTTTCTGAATTTTTTTTATTGAAAGTTATAGATTATCTTATTACGATCACATAGGCCAAAAACCTCATCGAAAACGGAGGTCCGTGCAAAAAGTTATGATTTTTTTAGTGTTTGGTAGTCAAATGGGCCTCAACCGGGCCAAATTTGGCCCAACTCGGGTTTAAGTGATTAAATGGACGAAAATTAGATTTTTCCCCCCAAATCACTTCTAAAACTCTCCCACACACTCAAGGTGTGATTTCATACACTTAAGGCTGAAGGTATTCAATTCTTGAAGAATCAAAGCTCAAATAGATGAATTCTTGATGTTTATGTGAAGATTTTTGAAGGTATGCTTCTAATGCTAAGTTTAATCTTTGTAATTAGTGTTAATTAAGGATATTAGGGTTTGCATGTTTATGATTAGTGGTTAATTTTTGTAAGTTAATGTTATTATGAAGTTTGGAATTGAATTATAAGGAATTGATCATGGATAATTCTAAGTTTAAAATAGGAAAATATGGGTATGAACCTGCTGCTGTACAAAGAAATTAAAAGTAGAATTATCAAGTTAAAAAGGGTATATTTTGGGATTGCTTGAGTAATTGCTTATGATACCTGAAATGTATATTCCAGGGTTATAATTGAAGGTATTAAAAGCTTGTGGTGGTTCATTTCTACCATTTTGGAAATTGCTCATAGCTTGGAGTATTGAGTAGCAATGTGAGTTCATTCAAGAACATTTTGTATACTATGCGTGCATATGTGTATATATATACTTTTCTAATATGCCTTAGTGGCTGGATATTATGCCTTAGTGGCTGGAACATTATGCCTTAGTGGCTGGAACATTATGCCTTAGTGGCTGGAACATTATGCCTTAGTGGTTGTTATGTTAATTATTTACTTAATGTAACATGATCTCATGATATCTTC